ATATCAATGTAAATATTTTCTATATTTTTCCTATATTATATATATATATATATATATATATATATATATATATTAATATTCTCTTACTAAATATTACTAATTATCACGTTTAATCCTTTAAATAAGAGAGGATCGGATACACAAACTTTTAGATAATTAAAGAATTAAACGTGATAATATATAATGGTATTTAGTGAAAGAACATTAATATATATATATATAGTTAGCATTTTTTATATATTAAAAATACAAAGTTTCGTGCAATTTTTTTTTTTTGTGAATTTTCTGTAATAAAAAAATTTCAAGAAAATTCCTACAAACTTTTTTTGGTAAGATATTCTCCAGAAAAATTTTCTGTGAACTTTTAAGCCGTTAAAACTTGTTATTCACAAAAGATTTATCTGCAGAATCTGCAAGAGCCTATTTACATTAAATTAGGAAAATTATAGTGCTTCAACATTCTTGAATGATGATCCCATTCCCACTAAAACTGACTTCAACCCTTCCTCATTTCATCATCAAGCAAAAGCAAAATCACCAGCTAGCATTCTTTTGCTTAGGTTGGAAATTTGGAATGAAGAGGCGAACGCTATAAAAGCAAACCGAAATGTAAATACAAGAGCCTAGCTAGTTTAGGTTAGGACTTTTGCAGCAACTCAATTAGTGGTACTATTTTCTTATTTTTTATGTAGTCCTGATTTTTCACACTATAATACATTCACGTCCTTTATTTTTTTAATTTATCTCTTCTTTCCATATCACACATCATCAATCATAATCACTTTTTTTTTTGCTATCTCTCTTTAAATGCCTATACTCAAACGCCTACTACGGCCACTTGTGATTGTCGGTTCAATTAATAGTGCTCTGCCAACCGTATCCCCTTCAAAGAGGAGCCACAGTTGGGCAAACATGAATAAATTTTCCACCAAATGCTCCTACTTGTACGTGCACACTATATCCTCCTGCAGAGGGGAAAATGGAAATATGCTTTCCTTGGATTCTGCTTGCCACAATGGTCATGGCAATGCCACTTTCATTTTGGATAAAAGCAAACCAACTTTCTTACGACTACTACTAGTTTTCGTGTCCAAACTTGGAAAGCATAATCGAGAGTGAATTGCTAAGCTTATTCTTGACAGATGCTAGTGCGCCAGCTGCATTTCTTAGACTCATGTTTCACTACACCAAAATTAGGTTTTTGTGGCAATTAATTTATTCTTTAGCGACCATATAAATAGTCATTATTTTTTTTACCAACATTTAAATAATGACTGGTGTATCCAGTGTCGTCGTTATTTTTTCAATTGTCTCATTTCCGTCCATTTAGTGACTTTTATTCCTATAATTTTTTTTTCTAAATTCATAACTTATATACTCTTTTTTTTATCTCTAGTCCATGTGAGATTTGTAAGACGAGGGTTGTCTTCTATTTATATCTCTTAAGAGATGTGAGATTTATAAGGTGAAAGTTGCTTATATATTATATAAATGACCAAGTAATTGTTGCATGAAAATTTTAAGATAATTAATTTGAATTAATATTTTCATTGCAAAATAATTGAATTATTTTAAATATAAGGACTTGTTGAGTCGATATATATAATCGTTCATAATTTATTATTCGTAAATATATATTTTTTAAAAAAACTTATTTAAATGTAAAAAAAAACAAATATAAAAGTGTGAATCGCTTATTAGGATAAGCCATTACATCAAAGTGTACATAAATTTCTTATAATGGCTTAAATATGACACGAGATTGTAAGACTCAATAAAATATATTTAAAATACACTATAAAAAATGTTCTTATTGAGTTATTTTATTTATAAAACACACCCTTGTTCAGAAAATGGTCCAAATTTCAGAGTGGGAGTGTTCTACTTTCCTTTGTATTTGTTTTCCGTATCGTCCTTCTTGATTCAAAGTTTAGACTTAAATATCTACACGTGTACAGCGGAAACTTAAAAGACGTGGTGCCTCACGTATATGTACAGTGGAAAATTTATATTTGATACTTGACCCAAATTATGTGATTACAAAGTATAGTCATCGTTTATCATTGACTTACCTATTTGTAATTAATATTTCAAGGTATTAAATTGGACCAAGAAATGTGTAGTTGTTGACACAAGTGGTTGGTGGTGTATGTAGAGTGGAAAATTTATATTTGATGTTTGACCCAAATTATGTGATTACAAAGTATATTCATCGTTTATCATTGACTTACCTATTTGTAATTAATATTTCAGGGTATTAAATTGGACCAAGAAATGTGTAGTTGTTGACACAAGTGGTTGGTGGTGTATGAAGAGTGGAAAATTTACATTTGATGTTTGACCCAAATTATGTGATTACAAAGTATATTCATCGTTTATCATTGACTTACCTATTTGTAATTAATATTTGAAGGTATTAAATTGGAGCAGGAAATGTGTAGTTGTTGACACAACTGGTTGGTGATTTCTGCATTCATCCTCTACCCAGCTTTAATCGATCATATAAATATCTTCTTTTTTTTAATCTATACAAATATGCAACAATTTTCATAATAAAATTCACAATAATTAATAATGATTTTTGTGTTGGGACCTAAGCCCTCACAGTTTTGTAGTTTTATTTTTTATCATTACCCAAAAGGTTTTTTTCTCTTATTTTATCAATATCCTAACAATCTTTTCCTCAAACAATATGAGGGTTACCTTACGACTTTGATACTAGAGATGAAGTTATTTTATAAGAATTATTTTTATAAGGTTATTACACAAGCATATTTTATAATGATGAAATATTGTTCGCTTTAGTCATTACCCAAAAGGTCTCTCTATATGTATGATTTATAAGTTGTTATTTTTTTCTTATTTTATTGATGTAGGACTTTCTATCTCAACAAGATGTCACTTAATCTCACAAATATACAAATTCCTTTGTTTGGTCTTTATAAGTTCAAAGTGTTTTAGTTTCTTAAGACCATGTAATATTATTATCAATAATTGAGTTAATCGTATATTAATATTAAATTTAATAAAATATTTTTACTAATAATAATTGTGTATCATATTTTTAATAATATACAAGTTTTGTTCCCTACTTCCAGAGCCACCAAGTGATAGTCAAAACTGACTACCCCATCAAGCAAATCCTGCGAAAACCTGAGCTCGCTGGTCGGTGGAACTATCCGAGTTTGGGATCCAGTACGAAGGTCGCGGACCCTTGAAGGTCCAATGCCTAGCCGATTTCGTGACTGTCGAGTTCAAGTAAATGTGTTAATTTCTTCTCTCTTTATGTCCCTTACTTTATTTGTTCTTCATAGACTTGCTTCACCAACTAGCATCATTGCAAAACATTTCAAGACAAACCCAACCTTGTTCTTGTCTCATTCAAGGTTTATATATAAAGTCTCACTTGTTTCATTTATTTTTCACGCAGGGATGTGATGCCTCAATTTTGTTGGACTCCAACTACCTAAATTACAGCTCCGAAATGGTCTCTTCAAGGAACTTTGGCATCAGAAAGCGGGAAATGATCAGCCACATAAAGTCGACATTGGAAGAAGAATGTCCAGGACAGGTGTCTTGTGCAGATATCATTGTATTGGCTGCTAAGGAATCAGTGTCGTTCTCTGGAGGACCCAATATTGAGATCCCACTAGGAAGAAAAGACTCCAGAACTTGTAGTTTCCAGGAGGCTGATGCTAAGCTTCCTTCACCAACGACAACGGTTGATGAATTTATATCCATCTTCGTGTCTAAAGGAATGAACATTGAAGAGTCAGTTTCCATTTTAGGTAAGGCATGCCAACCATTAAGAAAGAACATTAAAACTGTTAACTGAAGGCAAGGAATGGTTATGTACCTGATCTGTTATTCTAACAGTTGGTATTATAGGTGCACACACACTAGGGGTTGGACACTGCTTGAACATAGTTGGTAGGTTGTATGATCCAAAGCTAGGGGACACGATGGATTTTGGGTATGAAGCATCACTAAAACTAGCATGCCCAACTGAGATTCCTCTCACAAACCTCACAATTGTGCCTAATGACATGACCCCCCTTATATTTGACAACCAGTATTACCGAGACATTATAATAGGGAGAAGCTTGTTTGGTATTGACTCCAGCATTTCTAGAGATCCGCGAACAGCACCCTTTGTCAAGGGGTTTGCTATGGATCAGAACTACTTCTTCAAGGCTTTCTCATCTGCATTTGTTAAGCTTTCTACTACCGATGTTCTCACCGATGTGCAGGGTGATGCCCGTAGGCAATGCAACCAGTTAAATTAATGCCAGAGTAAATGTTCTCCAAGTAAATATATAAGAAAAGTTACAGTACATGCACAGGGCCTATACAATTCATATGCCCTCTAGTAGTTTAAATTCTAAACATTCATCCACCTACTTATTTCCATTATCCCTCTTACCAATTACTAATTTTAATCAATATTTGATTAATGTTTATGACCAAATATTAATAAACAGTAGAATTTAAAAATAGATTATAGTTGCTCCGAAAAATAAATGCAAGTGTGGAATTGAAAAGTAGGCGAGAGATCTTTCAAATTTACGTTCCATGAAGATATCGATATTAGTGCCTATGTACCTGACCCTTGTTTGCTAGCATTTCATATCTCCATCGACTAAGTAACTTGTAAAGGAAAGAAAAGCGTTATGCTTATGACGGCTTCAATCAAACTTTAGAGCTAAATGAAATGTCACGTGTAAAGTGCTAAATGTAAAAACATGTATTAAAAAAACAAAAAAATACTTATTCACTATTCCGACCTCAAATATAAAATGGAACAATGAAAACCAGAACTATTATTACAATCAAGAAGACGGTCGATAACCAGATATATTACAGTAAGTACAATACAATACAACCATTGCAGGTGCCAAGATGCACTCAGTTTTTGTCATGATGTTTTAAATAAATTGGTTACGCCGCCTCTTTTCTACTAAGTTATGCACCTCTTAAAGCGGAGTATAAATTATTAACAGTCATAAGAGGTGAATACTTTGCTGTCTGTCACTTTCCATCCAACAGAAGCATAACTCTCCGGCCGAAGACACCTTTACTTTACATATGCTTTAGTTTTTTGATGCGGATGCAGGGCCATTACCAAGCTGCATAAATTTAATGGTTGAAATGAAGACAAGAGTGAAAGCAGCTACTGTACACCAACCTTTATGTTTTTACGGTCCAAAACAATATTCAAAATCTTGCCAGGAACGTAAATTCTTTTTTTGACAGATTGACCATGCAGATACTTTGATAGCTTTTCATCCATAGATGCCAGTTCAAAAGCATCCTCCTCTGTACATGTTTCTTCAACCTGGATGGTACCTCTTGTCTTGCCATTAATCTGAACTGGAAGGACTACCGTGGAATCTTTAAGGTAAGCAGGATTTGCCTGAAATTACAGCAGATTCGAAACTCATCATTGTTTAGTGATTTGGTGTGTAACATTTCTCTTTGAAAAATCCAAAGCTTTTTGTTCCACGAAAGTATCAAAGACATGGATCTTCACAACCACAGTCCAGGTATTTAAATAGTAGTTATCGATACCTTGTGCCAAAAGAGCCTTAGTTTATCTCGTGAAAAATTGAGAAAACTTACAAAGGCATCAAATACTGGTTTTTCTAGCACAAAAATGTAAGTAGGAAATCGTGACCACAATAACAAGACTTAGAGTAAATTGTGACCGCTTGCAGCAAGCCTAGCACACGGACCACAATAACAAGTCATTGGATCAGAATCCTCTTATCGAAATCCATCACCTTGCTATCCTATCTCTTGATAAGATTTCCCTTCATAATAAAAAATAGAAGCGTCTAGGCCCCAAAAAGCCCTTTGACAAATTGAAAATATTTTGCGGGATGCAAGGGTATTAGTTTGATCACCAACTAACTACTGAGTTCTAAGCAGGGATGGATCCGCATTTGCTCTCACAGAACTTTTTAAGATTGTATTTTGAGAGAAATTGCTCCACTAAATTTAAACAATTTTCACTTATTATAAAAAATAAAAATAAATAAAATCTCACGAGCTTAAATATGAATCTGCTCCTATGAAGGGACTTGATTGTTATTTAACAAAGAATGCATAAATATATAATTATTTTTACTTGTTATTCCAAGTTTTTTTTAAAATAAACCTTAATCTATTTTTTTTTTTAATTTTAAGATTATAAATGTTTAAATTTATTATGTTATCTTAATCTATTAAAATCAACTATAACTTAAAATTAAAGCATTTTAAAAATAAATTTAATCTTTTCCTTAAATTATATGCTATAAGTTTTAAAATTTTATTTTAAAACGTACAAGTTACACACAAGAAAATTAGAGAAACAACTTGTCGTAAATCATATATTTCAATACTTTACACATTAAAAATAGCACTTGCTATAAGTTGTGGCTGTGTTATGAGCCTATGAACAGCTGAAAGTTGTGTAACTACGGTCTTGTTTGAATAAATTTTTCTATGAGTATTTATAATTTAAGAAAATAAGGTAAAATAAATTTTATTTCTCTCACGTTAAAATTTACTGATGTATGTCAACTTTTGGAGAAGTTAGATGAGAGGGGATTTATAAAAATTAAGTGCAAAAGTTGATTTTAACATATGGGAGAAACTCAATTCATACATTTTTATTTTCTTCTCCTATAAAGTGTTCATAGAGAAACCTGTACAAACAAGACCTGAAACTAAGCCAAATCTTTATTTGTTAATGTAAATATGTACCCTTGACGTAAGTAATTTAAAAAGTAATACTCCTGTATGGTAGAAAAGCCTGAAATATCTAATTTGGCTAATCGTTAAAAGTAAGCTATAGAACAATATTACAAGGGTGTGAAAAATATGTTTTAGGCTATTGGAGATAGCATGTTATCGACTGAAGAAACTGAAAAACAGTGAACAGTACAACTTGATAAGCCAGGAAAGAATAGGAATGATTTGATATTGATCCAAATTCATACCTTAGGGAAAGGCTCGTATGCTAATGATTTTGTGTGCCCTAACCGAGACCACAGCTCCTCAGTCATGTGTGGTGCATATGGTGAAAGCAGCAAAACAAATGCCTCGATAACTGATCTTGGATGTTTATCCCACTGAAAATATAAACCAAGAAAATTATAGGGATCCTACTGATTGTCTGTAACTGTAACAGTGAGACGAGAATTCACTGTTTATTAATACGAAAAATAAATGAGAAACATAAGAACAAAGCAAAAGGATATTGATATGCTATGTGCATAGAACACTACACACTTCATAAAGGATATTGCTATGCATAGCTTGTTTTCATTTTTCTAATTATTGCAGGAAGCCAAACGCATAAATAAGATACGAAGATTTTACTTTATTATAATCTACTAAACTAATTAGTTCCCAAACTATACCTTCTAGGCTCTAGCTTTTCTTTTACAGGAATTTTGTAAAAGCTAAATTGAGATCCTTATGTTACATCCTGGAAAGACTAGTTTTCTTTAAATAGACCCAAAGAAGCTTGTAAAAGGTTGCTCCAAATAGGTTTGGATATCAAAGTTTCTTTCCAATTGAGGAAAAGAATGTATTTGAACAAATGTATTTCTTGTTTTCCATCAAACAAATCCCACACCCCATCTCATAAGTGATGTTTGGTTTGCGAGAATTGTGTTCAAAGGAATGGAAATCAAATGTAAATGAGGCGCAGGTTTTTACTATATAGTAACTATTGAAATTGAAAGGAATAAGTCACTCCCTCAAAATAATACTATTCAATACAAGCTGGAAGAAATGACAATTTCAGATTTCCATGCCATTCCTGGAATCATGTGTTTACTACCAGAGGCCAGCCACCATTGCTACAGCCACCTTAACTTCAACCAAGGATATTATTCCACTACTGCCAGTCTGCCGGTATAACAAATGCCATACCACCACCACCCTTAACTTCAACCAAGGATATTATTGTCATTAGGTATTAGGTAAATTTTCTTTTCTACCACTGCTTAAAATCTGGTATATCGAACATTGAAATGGAACGGAATAATCCTACCATTCCAAACCATTTCAAATATCAACTAACTTCCACACCCCATAAATACAAAAATAAAAGGAAAAAAATATTTGTGGGGAGAAGGGATGTTAAAGAATGGAAGTAGACAACAGAAAAATACCTTATATGCCGCATTAAGGAACTCCATCATAGCAGAAATTCCAGTGTTGAACCGTGTGCCCTCAATTTCCTCTGTTACCTGAATACTGAAATTAAATTCTTAGTTCAATTGTCTCAAATCTGAAAATTAAATAAAACAACAAAAATTTCAATTAAAACTTGAGATGTTGACCTTAGCAATGCATTTATGAAGACAACGGAGTTGTTCTATAGTAGGCTCATCATCAACTGTTACAGTTCTATCCGGAAATGTGCCATCAGACAAAGGTGAACCAACAATGAGCCTCCATGTTCTTCCTAAAAACCGATGAACACCTTCAATGCCACTAGTACTCCATTGTTTCGAGTCTCTGGGAGCATGTTAAAAAGAAATCAAGGAATGAGGTTAAAGTCCATATCAGAACAAGATCCACAACTTCATAGTCTTACCCTCTCCCAGTCCACCCCCAAAGAAAAGAAAAGATAAAAGGGAAAAAAACACAAAATCAAATTAATTTTGATTAAGGACCAATTACTACAATATGGTATCAGTAATAAGGTTTGTGGTTCAAGCCTACCTCAATGGTCCCATGAACATTTCATATAATCGTAGAGAATCTGCACCATACTCAGAAACAACGTCATCTGGATTAACAACATTTCCCCTACTTTTACTCATTTTGTGAGCACGGGCAAATAAACGTATGTCAGGATTTTCTTTCAGGACAAAGGAATCCCCAGATTTCATGACCTGTGCTCAAGGAAAAACAGAACAAATGTTTGTCAAGAGAAATGAAAACTTATGTCCAATACTTTATCTCTGGTAATTATCTAATGCATTGAGAAGTGTAAAGTGGAAACTTAATTGAGAAACCTTTTCCTCAGGAATTCTTTCTAGGTTATGTTCGTTCAACATGTCAGTTAAATCAGCAGATATCAGATTTCCATCTTGATTCCTACCAGCCATATACTGAACCTGCCACTCGAGCAATTAGAAACTTGTCACAGTTTGTTATTTTTTTCTCCTCGATTTTCAAGCAGAAAAAATTGAAATCACCTCTCCAAGAATAATCCCTTGGTTTATGACACATTGGAAGGGCTCCTTGGTGGATACAACACCAATGTCAAAGAGAACCTGAGATGCAAAACTCAAATTAAACTTGCACAAATATTGCAACAACACTGACAACATGTTAAAAGGGTATTTGAAGCCTTATTTCATTTCAATACCAAATTAGCGGATTTCCCAATCCTTCTGCCAACACTTGACAATGTCATCAATTCTTTATTTAACTTCTAGAAGGATTATCTGATTTCATTTTATAAATACATTAATTACAACCAACACTTTCTTTCCCCATACAACAGACTAGCAAAATATCAAAAAATTGTGATGTGGTGGTCTTCTTGTATTTTACAAGCACCAGTAATATGATTGTGGATTTCTCGTTCTACAACAATTTAAAATGCAAATTTTAGTTTTTAAAAATCAAAGCCAATCACATATCAACGTGTCCCAGAATGTTACTGACATAAAATACAGACCTTGTGCCAGAATCTAGCATATAGTAAATGGAGAACTGCATGCTCAGCACCCCCAACATACACATCAACAGGGCCCCAATACCTGCAAGAGAAGAAATTATAAAGCTGGGAAATTAAATCATTCAGAAATAGTGAAAGCAAAATATCAAAAGCAAGCAGAAAATGGATAAAGCATGGATAACAACGACAAAATTAGCTGAAGCCATACCTTTCTTTTGTCTTATCTACCAATTCCTTGGAATTATGTGGGTCCATAAATCTCAAATAGTACCTGGGCAGGAAAACAAAAATGTGACATGCATATGGACAAAATTTTAATTTTTCATTTGCATCTAATGCACAAAAATCCTGAATCAAGATTACAAAACTAGGCTACCAAATCACACTAACAAATCCAAATACCATTCAAGATCCTCCCCAATGCCTTACCAGCATGAACCAGCCCACTGTGGCATGGTATTTGTTTCCCGGGTAGCTGGTCTTCCAGATAAGCTATCTTTGGTCTTCACCTAAATCAGCAATATACAAGCCAAGAGATAAAATAATAATAATAATAATAATTAAAATGGGATCAATTGTTAGGGCCGAATGCAATAATGATAGCATCTTAATAGTCTACACTTGTAGGTAGTGTTAGTTAGAGTAGTTAAATCTATATATAAATAGTTGGTTACAATTGTGATAGTCAATGAGTGAATAATCAGAATTGAAACCATGAGCAACTGGCTTGGTGGAAGGGAAAGGTCCTTTGCATAGACTTGTCTAGTTGTCTCCTAAGCGCATTACTGAATTCTCTCTTTTCCTCTATATATTCAATGTTTAGATTTCTCCATATGGTTCCATTTCCATCAATACAACAATTATACACAGATAAGGCAATGATTCAATCTTATCAACCTTTATCAGAAAACCAGGTAATCATGTCTTAAATCTCTTGATATGCAAGGGAAATATGAATTCATAAACCAATATGTCAGAGTCAGGCAGCTATTAGATAGCCTTCAATTAATTCATTAAGGAAAAGTTTAATAACAAAGGGGCTAACTATGGGAATTGGGTACCATACTGGTATGTTGTAATTTTAAAATTGTTGTCTTTCTTTTTAAAATTGTTTATGTTTCTTTATATTGTTTAGGTATCAGGCATGAGTACGATGCCAGTATAGTATTAGTACGTCACTGGGGCTAAATAACCAAACAAGTCCAACCAATATCAGTCATTGGGCCAGCCAAATCAAGATTAGTAACTATGTTTTTTCTATGAAAAAAATTTAACTTCAAGATTTTTATGCACCATTAACATTTGGGCCAATGCCAAATGAAGCTAACGTAGTATGTAATTGCCATGATATATTGACAATAAGGTAAGAAGAAGAAAGAAAAGCATTTATTCGCATAAACTTACCCAAGACACTGCCTTAGACAGAGGAGGCTCCCCTGTTCCCGTGGGAGAAAAATCATCCAATTCAGGTAGAATAAGAGGCAGTTCAGTCTCACGCAGTGGTACAGTCTCACCACTGTCATCCAAGAAGATGACAGGGATAGGTTCACCCCAGTATCGTTGCCGAGCAAAAAGCCAGTCCCTTAACTTGTAGTTCACCTGAAGGATGAAAAATGTATTTTATATTATACAAACCATAAAGAACAAAATGTAGTAAAATAAACAAGATGATTAATTTGATATACGAACCTTTCTCTTTCCATTCCCACTTTTCTGTGCCCACTCAATGACTTTCAAAGCAGCTTCTTTGCTAGGCAAGCCATTAATGTCAAGCCCCACCAGTGTATTCGATGAATTTACAATAACACCTTCACCTGGAAAAGCCTTTCCAAACTTGACACTTTTATCTTCTGGCATTACAACCCAGTGAATTGGAATGTCATATTTCAAAGCAAATTCATGATCACGAGAATCATGTGCAGGCACAGCCATGATAGCTCCTGTTCCATAACTGCAACAGTAACAACACTTATATTCTGGTCTCGTAAACTTTTTAAATATCATACTACACCCCCATAGATCTTATGTCCATATCATATTGAGCAAGCAATAAACACGATCTGCATTCTAAGTGATACTTGTACACACCCACCTCCCTAAAACATAATCTGCTACCCATATTGGAATGGCTTCCCCGTTTGCTGGATTTTTTGCATAACATCCAGTAAAGACCCCGGTTTTTTCCTTCTGAAGTTCAGTCCTCTCAAGGTCACTCTTCCTTGAGGCAAGATCTACATAATCCTTGACCTGTGATTAACAAAAGCCCTAAGAATAACCATCTCCTTATAATCCTTGATTAAAATCCTTCCAAGGCAATGAAACATAACTTACATCTTTGCTTTGGGCCATGGAAACCAATGATGACAGCAAGGAATGCTCTGGTGCCACAACTAAGTAGCTGAGCACAAACAAAGCAAATGGGAAAAAGATAAAGAGTTTATTTCAAGAGTGGTTCATCTGATTCATAAAATTTATTAAGTATTAGAAAACTGAATAGATAAATACGTTGCACCGAAGATCGTATCAGGCCTTGTAGTATACACGATAATTTGCATGTCTCTCTCCTTTCCATCACTATCAAGAATGCAAAATTCCATCTCAGCCCCTTCTGACCTCCCTATCCAATTTCTCTGCATTTCTTTCACACTTTCAGGCCAGTCAAGGTCATCTAAATCCTCAAGAAGACGATCAGCATATGCAGTAATCTTGAGTATCCACTGTCTCATTGGCTGCTTGGTAATAAACAACGACACTGTAAAGATTATGAAACCATTCAAAATATATATATATATATAAGAGGAAAACCACCTAAGGAGTTAAATTGTAAAAGAAATAAATATGTGAAGCAGTATACCTTTCTTATTACAGGATGACCACCCCGTTCACTGACACCATCAATCACCTCCTCATTGGCCAACACAGTGCCAAGCGCTGGGCACCAATTAACTGGAACTTCAGCCTGAATTTTTTTTATAGGAATACCATAAGATCCTCAAATACTCAGGATTTCAATAAACTAAGAAAAAACTTCTAAGTAGTAATTATATACTAAACCTGATATGCCAATCCTCTCTTCAAAAGTTGTAGAAAGATCCATTGAGTCCATTTGTAATAGTCAGGTTCTATGGTAGAGATCTCACGATCCCAATCATATGAAAATCCTAATGATTTTAACTGCAAAGACGTAAGAAGACATAACATGAAAGGAAAACATGAAATTTTAAGACTAGAGATCATGACTACGAGAATGTAATCGTGAAAATAATTGATCTTTCACATTCGGCCAAAAAATCATTAAAAATGCACCCAAGCAAGCCATTTCTCTATCTGGTGAACACCATATCTGAGTTACAGGAAACTTTTCTTCTTAAATCAAGTGGAGGCCCATTTAAAATTTCAAAATCACTTTGCAGTGATTTAAATTGACAATCAAATGAGTAAGGAATTGTATGTTGGATGTTAATTTAGCTTTGTGATTAAATTGTAATGCAAAAACACTGATTGTGATTCCAGAGGTGGTGTTTCAGTTTTTGAAATTGAAGCTTACCCAGCAAACCAATGCAACTATTCGATCCTTTTATGTAACTGTTGGGAAGTTGCCTTAATTGCAGTCACTCCTAGTTTGCCTTAGCTGTGGCCTCTTTGGGAGTTGCCTTAATTGCAACCTCAAATGTGGTAGTTTAGTCCCACGTCGATTAGAAATAAGGCTAAATAAAGCTTATAAAGTTTGGACATTCTTCACCTTACAAGTTGGGGTTTGAGTTATGCCCTAAGATCATATTTTTATTATTGGACCACCTGCATTTGCCATGCTCCAAGATGGTAGCCCCAGGCATAAGGGCAGATGTTGTAAAGTTGTCTTAATTGCGATCAACCCTAACCTACCTTAATTATAAGTATGTTGAGTGGCATTTGTCACGCTCCATCATGGCTAAAATAGATTTTAAAAAGTTTGTGAAATTCTCACTTCTAACTTCTAAGCCAACTTTATGCGATTAAGTTAGGTCCTAGGATCAATTTCTGAGAATAACTATTTAATGAATTATTCACTAGCCCCTCAACATAGTTAATCTTAAGCATAAAGATCTTCAAATGGATCAAAAGTAATCAAATAAATTCAAATCAGCAGCAAAGTATAATTCCCAAATAGTTTAATTTTTATCCATTGCACATGTAAAACTTACACTATCAACCAATTAAAAATCTTCATTGGTACAATTTTTAAAGGCGTTATTACAAAACAAACAAAAGTCAACAATTTTATCATCCATATCGATATATTATTGAACGAAATTGTAAAAATACTTTACACTATGGGTGTGTTTAACTTATTCCAAATATCTCAAATCCTTTAATAATTTAACAAAAGCATTGCTGGGGTTCGTTAGAGTAAAAGCATTGCATCATTCAGTTTACCTGAGCACGAAAGCGATCGATATTCCTCAAGGTCGTGAGCTTTGGGTGAGTTCCTGTCTGAAACACATGGCAGAATATTAATAAACCCCAATAAATGGAAATTTCAACAGAATCTGTAAATGAAACTCTCTCGGAATAAGTGTTGTTTTAGCTTGTTTTACACATACTAAGAAAAACTAATAAATAAGTGAGAAAAAAAAATGTGATTTTACAAAATTATCTTTATGATTAATCTTCTTTTCTAGAAATTATGCAATATAATAATCACCTTCTAAAGAATATCACAAGGAAGTATAAATGAAAACAAAAATATATGTAATTAATATTACATTGAACATGATACTTATTATGCTTAGACTTAAAAATGTTTTAGTATCTCAAATTTATCCCTCAAATTTAGTTAGAGAATCTATCAAATATTATTGCATAAAATTTATCTATTGATATCTTGTTAGTGAAAACATCACATTAAAAAACCAAGTTGATGTCTCAATCTATCAATCTATCAGTTTCAAATATGTTATTAGTGATCCGAGGAACTAAAAAAGATTTTTCAAAATTACATAGACTAAATATAATAATTTTAAATTTGAAGGATAAAAAATAAATTTATCCTAAACTAGATGGACTAAATATATATTTAAGCCTTTTTAAGACTTTTGTTTGTTATGGGACGGAGGGAGGGAGTAATATACACACAACAAGTCAGGGGTTAGAACTTAGACTTGAGAACCAAAAAACAGACCTCAATAGCATACTGTTCTGCTGGCAATCCAAAAGCATCCCACCCCATTGGATGTAACACATTATATCCCTGCATACGTTTATACCTAGCTAGAATGTCTGTGGCAGTATATCCCAGAGGATGACCAACATGAAGTCCAGCTCCACTGCAAAAAAAAAAATAGTTGTTATGAATATTCTCGTCGCAATTTAGAAAAATCAGAAACTGCAAGAGCTAAGTAACTAAAATTCAGAACCTAGGGTAAGGAAACATGTCAAGAACATAGTATTTAGGTTTCGTAGTGTCGATATCGTCATCGGGGGTTCGGAACGTGCGATTGTGCTCCCAAAAACGCTGCCACTTGGGCTCGATTTCGTGGAAAGGGTACGCCCTATAGACCGGTTGTTTCTTATTCTCCGTTTCGCTCACGCCTCCATTGGGCGCGGAGTTTGTGACGGTGCGGCCACGGTTGCGGAACCTGAGAGCGGAAGAAACTCTTCTGATGGAAGTAGCAGGAAATGTTGGAGAGCGAAGGATTTTGGTTGCAGAAGGAAAGGGAAATGGTGACGCATGGGAGTGTGGTGAAGGGAAGAAGAGGTGGTGATGAGTGTGGAGCATTTGGATTGGGAGAGTGGTACGAAGAAAGGAAGATAAGGGGATAACGTCAAGAGTGAACTGAAGATGGCGCTCAAAAATGTACAGCAGCAACAACTCTTTCTTCTACATTTACGAATTGGGCCCATTATTTTACTGCCATCAGGTCGGCATTTTTTGTTGAGCCCATATAATTATTTTATACTTATTTTAGGCTTTTGTCAAATATCATTTTGTTAAAGTTCATTATATATACACCTCTTTTTTTTTTTTTAATAAGTACACTTCCTTTATTTTTTTTTATAAAAATTATAGAATATTATAGTTTTTTTTTTTAATTTTCTAATTTTACACTTTCAACTTTCAATTTAATATTTTCTTCTTCTTTTTTACACACTTTTTTTTTCTTTTAATTGTCACATACTACCAAAGTAAGTAGATAAAAGAAAGGTAAGGGGGTGCATATAAAAATTGAAAAAAGGAAGGAAGATATGTGGAAAAAAAAAGTACTAAATTAAATATTTTGGATGTAAAATTAAAAAAATAAAAAATAAAATAAAAAATTAAGAATATTTTAGAAATTTAATTTTTTTTTTTAAGAAGGTATACTTATAGAAAAAAAGGAGGTGTATATACCATGAACCTTTTGTTGATTAACAACAAAGGAGGGTTTTAAGACACACTCTAAGCCACTGGTTTAGGTACAAGATATTATCATTATCGCTTGGACAATTAGATATCCAACCTGTAATCGCAATGATACAATTGTAAGAGCGGAGTTGATATATTTATTTTTATTGATTACAATTTTGAAAATTAAAAAAATTAAAAAATTATTAAATAGAATGTGATATTAAATAAATTTTATATTTTTAATAAATTTTAATTAATACCAAGAAATGTGTAGTTGTTGACACAAGTGGTTGGTGGTGTATGTAGAGTGGAAAATTTATATTTGATGTTTGACCCAAATTATGTGATTACAAAGTATATTCATCGTTTATCATTTCTATTTTTATTTATTTTTTGTAAATTATAAGAGAAAAAGAACTTAAAAATCTCACGAAAAAGAAATCTAAGTCATATCAACTCTTACATGATTTACAATGAAATTTGTAACAATTTCATAAACATAAAATGGTTTTTTTAGTTAAATGGATTTCTTAGCTCATCTCTTAGTAAAATTGAGATCATCCCTGTTTCTTATTAATTTTTATGATCTTGAGTATATAAATGACATTGAATGTTAATATATTTTTTTATTAACAATGTCATTTATATATTCAAAACTATAAAAATGAAAAAAAAATGAAAAGATTCAAAGTACTCTCAACAAGTTAATTAACTTATATATAAATATGGTCTTAAGACATCTAGTTCAAGTTCGAATACACTTCATGCATTGAATATACAAATAAATTACTATGTTAGTTTGGAAAATATACAAAATAGATTTCCATTATATAAAAAATATATAATAATTTATTCATATAAATAAATACTATATTTTAACATATAAATTATATTGAAATTTGTATAAATTAAACATATAAATTATATTTATATTTATGATAAATAATTTATATTGCAGTATAAAATTATTTTTTATAATTTATAATTTATTTTAAATTCTAAAAATTTAATTAATAGATAAATATGATAAATTAAAAATATAATTAAAAAAAATTCTTAAAACACTCCAAGAAAAAATAGAGTTTAAACTCACTTCGTCCAAAATTTTTGTTCATGTGAAATCTAATTAATTTTTTTAATTATGACTTGCAATAAAAATTTGTTTTAATAAATTAATATTTTAATTTGTGCAATATACAAGTTAAATATTTATATATAATTAAATTTAAAATAAATCATGTATATAAATAATACTATGTTTAAATATATAAACTTAAATTTAAATAAGTATATTTTTTAAATATATAAATTATATTTTATATTTATGATAAATAATTTATATTATAATACAAGATTGTTTTTATTTATTGATAGTTAACTTTAAATGTTAAATTTTAATTCATAAATAATTATACTAACTAAAAATTGAGTTAGATATGAAGTTAAAATAATTTTAAATATTTTAAATATTAAAATTTAATTTATAAATAATATTCATTTATATTGTAAGGAGTTGATAAATAAAAAAAATTGAATCACATATGAGGTTAAAAGAATCCTAAAATATTTTAAAAATATTAAAAATAAATTTATAAATAAGTATAATAAATAAAAATTAAATTAAATACGGAATTAATATAATTCTTAAAAATATTTTCATAAAAAAATCACTAAAAAATAAAAATACTTTCGTATAAAATAATCATTTATACTTTATATAAATGGTTGATAACAGTTGAAGTTGAATGTTAAAAATCGTAATTGATTTTTTTAACACAAAACTATCTACTTTTGTACATACACTAAACTTTTTAGCATATGAGAAAATCATTTTAGGCGTCATCCATTCAGATAACAGTAGAAGTAAAAAAGTTGTTAATTTGTTATCAATCAAAATGATAAGCCAACAAATAATAAAAAACAACAATAAAAAAAAATAAGATGAAAGATTATAACTAAAGCCTTAATTTTTTTTTCAATTAAAAATATATAACAAATACCGAAGTTAAATTCTGAAAGACATGGAATAATACTTTAATATGTTTATCCTTACTGATAAATATTTTTTCATAATTTCAATTTTTATATAGTAAGATTTTTTAACAATTTTTTTCTCATAATACATATATATCAAGTTTTCATTCTTACTTGCTAAAATATCACCTTAATCTCTATGATCATAACAACTCTTGAATAGCAGAAAATTTTCAACAATTTTTTTTTCATAATTCATTAAGTTTTAGTTCTTACTTATAAAAATTTCTTCATAATCTTCTTAATTATAAGAATTATTGTATAGTAGAAAATTTTAATAAATATAGATTAAAACATAATACATATAAATGATGACATAAAATAATAATATAATGTAACTATTCAAATATGAAGATATAAACAATATTTTGTAAAATTTTATGAATTTTAAACAAATTTCTAAATCCAAGTACTATATTTGAAAGAAAAAAAATAAAGAGTCTAATTATAATTTTTACTTTAAGGATCTAATTTAAATCTCTCAACAAGTTTAAAACTAAATGATATATTAAACATTAAATATATATTTTAAAAACATGTGTTAATAGTTTACTGTTCATGCTAAATAAAAAAAAATTACCTCATCAATAATCAATTTTTTTAAAAATCGAGGGATCAAAAGATAACTTACAAATTAAACGGAAAGAAGAAAATTATTTTATAAAAAGTAAAAACTCAAAATATATCATTTTTTTATTATTGTTGGTAGACATACGATCTTTCATAGTAGAAGTGGATGAATATGTACATAGTTATCCTTTTTTATATAAACTTTGAAACTGACGGTGTATAATTAGTTAAATACAATTATATTTCTATTAAATTTGGTGACTTTTTTGTTGATGTCTTTGATAGATAAATGATTTATTAATATCCGGAAAAAAGAATCGAGATTTGACTCACAAATTGCCATATAAAATTAATGACAAAATATATATATATATATATATATGCTACCATTTTAAAACAAAAATGAATTTTAAAAAAATAGGGGAAATAAAACAAATTTTGATAAATACCTTGAGAGAAGGTTTATTTGTTAGATTTTAATTCAATGTTAGTTTTATATGTAAATAATTATATATTAAGGGCATGTAAAATTATATCAAATTAAAGTGATTTAATGATATATAAATTATTTGGATAATTATGTATTTGAAAGGATATGAGACTTTTGTAACGATCCGGCTGGTCACTACACACTACTCAACATCATGACATACACACAGATAAGAACAAGTATATAAATATATACACAAGGTCCAATCTGAGCTAGACATCAGAGTATAGATACAGCCCAAAGAAGTCAAAATAGTGGCCTAAAACGTCACATACAACAAAAGACATCATCTCAATCTGCCAACTGCAGACCTGCCACTATCACCAACCTAACCCTGCTTTGCTCCCATACAACGTATGATCATCGCAGTCCAAACACATGAAAACAACAAAGGGTAAGCTAGTGAAAAGAATTAGCATATAAAACATATTTTAAGAAATATGAACAGCTACAACTATCATCACATCATCAGCATACAACTCATCAGCTATACAACATAAACAGCAATAAAACATGCAATGTGTCATCACGCATATCAGCTTGGAGATCTCCTACAACAGCTCAGCCTTACGGCCTACAACAGCTCAGCCTTACGGCCTACAACAGCTCAGCCTTACGGCCTACAACAATTTATATCAGCATACAGCACAGCACAGCTTACAACAATATTAACTTACAGCACGGCTAGACAGCTTACAGCACAACAATATACATCAACTACAACTTTAATCAGCAATAACATATAACAGCACGACATATTCATCAATTACAGCTCATACTCAGCATAGACAACATATAAGGAAACAGCACATACGCGCCCGGCGCACTCACGATCGCGCCCGGCGTGGCACAACTAGAGAGTACCAGGGAACCATCACGCCCAGCGCAATTCCTATTGCGCCTAGCGTGAGGGAAGGCAGAGACCTCACAAGGTCTCATAAGCCCGGCGTGCTAATCTCGCGCTCGGCGCAAGAAAGCAGAGACCTCCCTAGGGTCTCACGCCCGGCGCAATATAAATTGCGCCCAGCGCCACCTCTGACAAAGACTCCCAAGGAGTCTCTACGCCCGGCGAGACAAGGTCACGCCCGGCGCCACACCAGAACCCCAAAACTTGAGTCATCCACTGATATCACGCTCAGCGCTGTCCCACCACGCCCGGGGTGGGCCATCCAGAGACTCGCATCCTCAAGCTCGCCCGAGGCATTCACCATTGCGCCCGGCGTGCTTGCCCAAATGGAGTCTCTGATGGTCACGCGCCCGGCGCGAAGAATTGCGCCCGGCGTGATACCCAGCAACAACCTTCAAACTTTCGAAAATCTCTTCAAACCCTGCAAAAATCCACATTTCCAGCACATGCAATCCAACCAAAGTACTACATTTTCTTCAA